GCATTGGCTAGGAGATCAGAATTAGCTTGAACATCAACCCCCAGCATGTGAAGGCCAAACTTGCTCCCTTCTCGGGGAGTGGCTTTACAACCAGAGAAAACAATGCAGTCCCAGTAGCAAAGGTCATCTTAACCTTTTTCTCCCAGGCACAAGGGTTCCTCCTTTAGTACTCGGCCTCACCTCAGTCAGAGTTTGGTAACCTGCAGCACTCGTTACAAGTGGCATGAGCAGCCTGTGTTGCGTGCAACAGGTCAAGGTGCGGACAGACAGCACAGCAGCAGATAGAGCAGGAAGCAGAAAACAGAGCAGCACATCATGCCAGGAACACAGGGCAGGGAGCAGAAAGCTCAGCAGCCAACCAGGCAGGGGAAGGGTATGACAGTGGCACTCAGGGAGGGTGTGGTGTTAATTTGTGGCAAGCTTGGTTTCCACTGCCCTATGTCATCCCCTTTAAGTCACTCCCACCTGGAGGTGAATTAATGAACTCCCTGCCTGACCACAGCAACTCAAAAGAATGCACTCAACCCTTTCTCAATACCAATACCTCATTAAGAGTGGGATCTTTCCAGTCATACACTAGGGACAGAAGTTACACATAAACCGGTTTAAGTGAGAAAGAAATCGGTTTAAACTTGTAACAGAACAGAAGCTCAGAGCATATAAACCAGTTTCAAAATGGCTGAAACTGGTTTAAGATAAACCTGGCTGAATGTAGTATCAGACTGAACTGATCTGAGTCAAACTGGTTTATGAAACTTCTGTCCCAGACTCCTTCCTGGTTCAAGTTAAATCAGAGCCCCCCCAGTATGCTTTCTAGCCCTGGGCTACGCTATGCTGTCTGCTCCAGAAAGCAGGGCTGGCCCTGCCCCTCTGCTCTGTAGCAGTGAAGTCTGGCTGACAAGGGAGCGAGGCAAGCCCAGCTGGGGATGCAGCCCAGTCTGTAGGAGGGGTGACCCCCAACAAGACAAACCCTGGCTGGGGCCAGGGAGGGGGTTAAACACCCCTCCTCCACTCAAATTTACTGCTGGCTGCAACTGTGGACTACAAATTCCAGAGGCACTTAAAGGCAGGAAAAGGAAGTGATGAACAACCCTGCAGAGTCCTGGTTCTGTGATTTTGGACTGCAGGAAGAGGAAGTGAACACACAGCCCATGCTGACTAGGTGACAGAGGCATGCTCTAGGACTCCTGGCCTTAGCCACTGTAGGCATGTGGCTGCATTTCCTGAATCAAAGGTAAATGTCTGTTCACTTCTGTTTTAATTTAATTTGTGCAGCTTACACAAACCTGCAAAGACTGAATTGATTCAGCCTCGGGCTTTTTGACTGTCTGTACTTAGCCATTATGTCAA